TACTGGAGAGAACATGTGTTTTTAAAAAGTAGGAAATACAAAAAGGAACTCACCTTGTGGTAAACCTGCAAGAGAAAAAGTATTTGAGCTCCATACTGTTTCAGAAATAATCCTTGATGTGGTTTAGAACAGGATGGCGTTTTATCAAAGCAGAATTGAAATTAATCTCCAGTAGAATTCTGATCAGGCATTAGCTCCGCCTCCTCTTTTTGTTTTGTTTCAAGCTAAGGACCCAAAATCCGCGTTTCTCTAACAGGGCTGCAAAAGAGGGGTATGAGCAGTATGAGGCATGGCTACAATGAGGGATCTGTTTGGTATTTGAAGCAAAAAACTTCACAGACATGTTTTGTATAGATATGGCCCGACAATATATGTTTCCAATACAGCATGATAGGTCCACTTTAAAGGTCACATGTCATGGCCATTTCCACTGATCATAATTCCATTGTTGAGGTATACTAAAATAGAGAAATACTGTGGAATTTTCCAAACTCACATTGGTTTCGCAGACAGCATCTCTGTAAAGTATGTGTATTCAGCAGTATTCACTTTCTCCACTAAACGGCTCGCTGCAGCGCGATCCCAACTGTCTGTTATCAGCCTGCAGCAGGGATGAGAGATCAGCAGGGCTGCCTGCACTGAGTGTGTGTGTGGATTGGTCAATTTGGACCAATCAGCGGGGGCTTAACGTAACGGCTCAGCGGACGTAACGTAACGGCTCCACGGATTGGCCCATTTAGTTCCGGGTACGTGCTTTCGTAAGCACGTACCCGGAAGAATCAAATGGATGATGACGTCATGATGACGTTTCACCAACGAGGCGTTTTGGGGAGGTATTTTCTGTTTTAGAGTTTTACTCGCTACAGGGTGTACTTTGAGGGTTTTGACTCTGCACACCGTTTACATGCAGAAAAACCTTCATAACACACAAGGGGACGGGTGATAACCGGAAAAGCATGACATGGGAGCTTTAACACCTGAGAGTTCATCACACAATTCAGCCACATGCCAAAGAAAAAAAAAGCAGCGTATGAAAAATATGAACCATGTTTTCCTGTTTCTGTGTGAATTAAACACACTTAATACAGCATATGTTAACTGTTGTCTAGTTATGTATTGAAACATTTTGTGTTATCTTTTCCTAAAAATATGGGACGACTGTTCCCTTAAACTTTGTAGTGAACAGCCTGATCAACACTCATACTGTAACTCTAACACTTACATAGTACATATTTGTTATAGTATATTTTTTTATGTTTATTGTACATGCTCTATTCTATATGTGCTTATTTCGTCATGCCAGTATGTTTTATGTCTTCCTAATGAGTTTATTGTACACACCAAACACAAAACATATATATATACTTTCTACATCTGCTAATTATCTGGAAACATGTATTTTTCATGTAAAAAAGTTAAGCGAGTTGCCATGAATTTCTAACATTGTTTTATTCCTTTTTTTGTTTGATCATGCCTCTGCTCTTGTTTTTCTTGACATCTTATTTATCATGCTGCATGTGTACAAAAACAGCTATCTGGTGAAAACACTTTTACAGCTTTATCTCTGTCACCTCTTTACAGTCTAAATGGAATCATCATGAGTCTTTTATTCACATATTACCCAAACCTTTATGATTTTACGAGGTTTAGTCAGCTTTTATAGTCAGCTTTTATAGTCATCTAACGGTGGGGTTCCCCTCCCTTTTTTCTCTAGATGTTGAACGCTCTGCTGATTCTCCTCTTCGTGCCCATCTTTGACTTCATCATATATCCGCTCATTGGCCTTTGCAAGATCAACGTCACGTGAGTAGAAACCTGTTGTTTTGGATACTCCCACCTTTATTGCAGTAATGAGCATTTAAGAGGCCGCTTAACTGGAAAACGAGCCATGTGACCTTAACGTTTACATCCCATGGATACCAATAAATGGTTAACAAGTGAAGGAAATGTTTGCTGAGCACACGAATACAAACATACTTTAAAAATGGTATATGTCAGGATTTAGTTACATTACATGTTGTTTATCCAAGGCGACTTACATACTCATTACTGTGGGCAATCCCCACAGGAGCAATTTGGGGTGAAGTGTCTCAGGGACACAACGACACGCTGACTGCAGTGGGGTTTGAACCCCCTGATCCGAACACCAACGCACAACCCACTGCACCACACGATTTTGGTTCCTAATGTGTGGAGAAAACGGCACCATGTTTTTATTTAGGGATCACATTTCATGACTTTTTACTTTCAAAAGGCTAACCAAATGGAGAATTAGAAATCAGGTGGTTTCACACACACATAGAGATTTGCTATGATCACTGTTTTTATTCATGTCTTTCAGAGAATATCTCAGATTGTTAACAGTTTATTTGCAGCTGTTCAAAAGTGTTTCTGTGTGCACTGCAGGCCTCTGAGGAAGATGGCCGTAGGGATGATCTTTGCAGCGTTGGCCTTCGGAGCGGCCACTCTGTTGGAGATCGAAGTTGTGGTGCGTATGAGCAGCAATCTTTAATCCAGCCTGTTGTTATAGAAACCAAATGCATTACTTCCCTACACAAATATGACATTATATGCATGCATGCACACCTAGTCAGAAAGAAAAAAAATAACTGCACAGAGACTATAACTCAACATCCTGGAAAACCTGGCATTTTTTAAACGAGACAATAGAGACAAACATTGTATTTCAGGAACTGGTCGGTCAACTTTAAGATTTTGGGCTATGCTGGTTCCAAACAGGTATTTCTTAAGACACCTAAAAACACCTAAAATACATATTACGGTGTTTATTTTACTGACAATGTTTATGTGTGTGATAAATGCCTTATTTGCATATTTAAATAATTCAGAAAAACATTTATTTAAATACATTATAATGTATAATAATTTAAATCAAAGAAGATTATTCAAAATGTGTATGTATTCATATTTCTTTGTCTTTCTATTTTTTTGTAGGACTGTTGATCATATTTTATTTATAACACTTTTTGATCTTCTTCTTCTCTGTCTGGTAGAAATCGGTGGTGGATCCTGCCCCGGCGGGGAAGTGTCTCCTTCAGGTGTTTAACCTGGCGGAGGGTGATGTGAGTCTGATGATCCCCGGCAGCCATCTGTTCAAAGAGCCGATCCCAAACCTCCAGGTCTGTATTGCACACAAATGTCAGACTCATGTGAGGGAGTGCTTATCTGTGCAGGCTTTATCCCTCTTTTCACTCGCTAATATCAACTCTATCTAAACAGGAAATACCTCACTGAGACAAAAAAAGTTTAGTTTTTGCTGAAAAAATTGGCTGTGGCTACATGTTTGACTTTTCTTTTAGAAACATGAGATATGAGCAGTGGTGGAAGAATAACCCCTAACCCCTTTTATTCAAGTGAAAATGGCAATACCTTTTACTTAATAGGTCAAATCTTAATGTCTCTGTTTCAGGACCCTGCTCAATACGAGACACTTCCTGCATCCGGAGAGGATCTGCAGTTTCAAGTCACCTTCAACGGGAAAACCTCAGAGTGTAATCACACGTTCCTTCAACGCGAGGCGTACAGTCTCATCCTTTACCCAGACGCTGCTGGAATACGGTGCAATGTGGTGAGTGAAAGAAAACTCCTTCTCTAAATATCTGACAACACAAAAAGCAGAGGGGATCAAAGCAAACTGATGTGTGCGTATGGTGTGTATAATCGAGTGTGTGTGTCAGTGGCGTAGCTGTGGGTGGGCCTGGGACCACCCACATGCACCTCTGGCCCACCAACAGCCAATCAGCGCGTCATAGCGATTTTGACATTCCTGACAAGCGGCAAACTCTGGGGCAGAGCCGGGAAGCCCAGAATGAAGTGCCACAAACTGCAGTTCCTCTAGTGGCCGACAGGGGATGGATGCAGAAAGGAGGAATTCCCACAGACCCCCCC